AAAAAAGAGGTAAATTATTGACAAGCAAGTTGATAAAAAGAATATCAACAGTCCCCAAAAGTATATTTGTAAATTCTGTGGTCGATAAAAACCTGCGAAACAATTTACATTAAACAAATGATGACTGATATTTTTCATACTAATTGTTATTCCATTATTTATACACTGAATTGAAGTACGGGTTCTCCGTTATTTCCCGATCATCACAAGGAGAACACGGCGGGTGTGACCGGTCAGCAGGGGAAGCTCAATCCTCCATTGCAACTATCCCACCTCGAGTTTCGGAGGTCCGTTTTTGCTCTGCTCATATTTTGTAGTGTTTTATGGACTTTGAGATTGAATACTGTTGGTTTTATATCCTTTTCACGAATGTGGAAAATGTTATTTTAAAATTTTTAATAATTGTACTATAATTTTAAAACACTTTTTTTTCGGTATTACATGAAAACAAGTTCTTGCAAGTGAAAAAGATTTGCAGTTTTTTTATATAAAAAAAGATAAAGTTGAGTAATGTTATAATATATAATACAGAGTACTGTAATAATGTTATACAGAGTAATGTTATAATACAGGGCAATATCATACAGAGTAATGTTATAATACAGTGTAATATCATACAGAGTAATGTTATAATACAGGTCAATATCATACAGAGTAATGTTATAATACAGTGTAATATCATACAGAGTAATGTTATAATACAGTGTAATATCATACAGAGTAATGTTATAATACAGTGTAATATTTTTATACAGGATTTAATTTTGGCATTATTAGCGAGGGTCATGAGATTGCTAAAATTAAATACCGCTAAACCTTAATTGCATTTTATTTGTAATAGCTGCTTTAGTTAGCATTTTGAAATGGCTAAAATTAAAAAAAAAACAAATTAGCAATTTTAAAGGAGAAATCACTAAATTTGCGTCTCGCTAAAATTTCCACGTATACGGTAATGTTATTCGATATGCAAGAGTAATATCATGCGTATGAATAATTTATAAAACAGGTAATTATTATACAAGTAATGTTGATAAACAAGAATATCAAAACCTCGTTTAAAGTCATTATTTCGTAAATTCTATGGTCGATACAATGACATTGTCAGGAAATACAATTTATCATTGAAACAAATGATGGCTGATGTTTTTCATACTAATTGTTATTTACATTATTTGAACATTGAACTGACGACGGGTTCGTGTTTGTTCTGCTCATATTTTGTAGTATTTTATGGACTTTTTGATTGAATATTGTTCGTTATCTCCATATCCTTCCCCACGAATGTGGTTTTTGCTCTATACTATACAGTTATACCTCTAATAATTGTACTATAATTTTTGCAAGCACATTATTTCGCGTAATTACACGAAAACAAGTTCTTGTGAATAAAAAGTTATTTACAGTATTTTTATATCAAACAGAGTAACGTTAAATTACCATATAGCGGGTTGTATTAGCAGGGTGCTAATTTTTGCTTATTTTGGCGTTTTGATGGAAGCCCGCTAAAATTTTAATCGCTAAAATATCATGACAGTTAATGTTATAATCTTAGTGTTAATATCATAAGAGAAGAAACCCTGTGTCCACTAAAATAAATTACGCCAAAATTGTTGGCATACCTTCCAGCAAGCAAAACGCCAAATTTTACACCCGTCAAGAAAACCAGCTATACGGTACAAGGCAGCATTATATATTGCCTTAGTATATTAACCAGAGTTATGTTAAAATAAACGGGAATATTATAAACAAAGTTAATTTATAATACATAGGTAATGTTATAAAACAGGGCAATATCATGCAAAATAATATTATACAAGAGGTCCATATTTTACAGAGAAAGTAATAATACAGGGCAATATCGAACGGAGAAATGTTAACACAGTCAAAATCATACAAAGAAACGTTATAATACAGGGCAATATTATATATGATAATATTATAAATCAGAATGATATTATACGTGTAATGTTACAAAACTGGGCAGTGTCATACAGATGCTATTATATTTTATATAATCACAGATATTGATATAACATAGAGCAATGTCATTCGTAGTAATACCGTATAATCAAGCAGCTAGGGTAATATAGAAAAGGATAAAGGGTAATATTACATGAAAATAATGTTATAATGTAGACCAATGTCACACACTAATGTAATCATACTCGAATACTCGATATAAATAACATTTTGTATAATAAACAGTTGATAATTAGCTTTATGTGTATAAATCCAATGGAATTACAGGACAATATCGCGCAGAGTACTATAACGCTTTATGTGTATTAATCCTATCTTTTTATTACAGCCGAGTTGTGTCACCAGTATTATCTATTATGTCTACTTTACAATCATCTGCATACAAGTTGTTCTGTATTCATTCGCTGACAAGCCTGATCATCCGAATGATACACTCCTTGGACAGGTAAACTCTAAACTTGAAGTTTTCTTTACTCGTAATGATAAAAACAATATGAACTCTGACCTGAGAAATAAACATTCTGACAAGTAAACTTTCAGTGTACTATTTATTCGTACCAATGAAGGCTCAAAATACTCTTTCCCCTGATAATTTAACACACTTTTTTCCCCTGACAGTTAACAACTTAATACTCTTTCTCCTGACAGGTTAATATACTAATTACTCTAAGAATTTACTTAAAGGTCACTTAAACACAGAAAGTTCTCCAGCTTGCACAAGTAGACACTTCGAGCACTCGCTCTTCCATGGCAGATTAATGCTTTTAAGATTTCCATAAGATTACCAAATATATCAGAAACATTTATAACTGGAAATATTTTAACAGTTCAAATCAAATCAGATTAGTAACAATAAAAACAAAGCAATTACAAGAACATGAATATATCCAAAAATAAAATCATATCATTTTCAAAAGAGCAAACGCCATCAATATCTAAGTCAAAAACACCACAGTCACATTATATTGTTTATATTCATATCTGCATAGTAGGATTAAAAAATATTTATTAATTAATTATTGATGTGTACATCACATTATTTTTATTGATGGAACAAGTTATTCGGAATAGGTGATATGCCTAGTGTTGTTCATGAAAGGATAAACAATAATGATTTTCTTACGAAATAAAGGGAAAATATTCAGTGGATGTAAATACTTGGTATTTTTATTTATGTTGTACCATTTTCCACCCAGAGAGAACATTCCCCGGAGGAGACTGCATCTGTCCTCAATAGATGGGTTTTCTGGTGGTTTAATGGGTATGTTTTCCATTACGTCTTTAATCAGTCTTGAATATTTTAGAGCAACCGTTCTCTACAACAAGAAATAAAGATCAACTACAAATGAAATGCAAAGATTTCATGCCTTTTGACTTCCAATCATCTGTATTTCTTAAAAGGTGAATCGTCATTGGTTTAATCTCGTTATCATTTATTAAGAAGAAGGTACAGTTTGAGCTTTATTGTGCCCTAAAAATTTAATGTTCTTCAAAGGTTATGAAATTGGCTTTAACAATAGTTGAGTAGATGAATATGATAAATCATGAAAGAATATGGCATAAAGGAGGACCTCTCTGGAAATATGACGTCATTAATTTGGTACATTTCTAAGAAAAGCCTCAAATTGACTTATTTTTGTGCTAATTTTCCTTTAGAAAATAGGGTCTGCTACTGTCACCCACTTTAACTTTTGGATATATTATGTAAACTGCTATGAAAAATCACATATCTCAAAATAGTTCTGGGCGACGGTAGCAGAATATGTTTTTATAAAGAAAATTCCACTGAAAATTGATGTCTTCTGCAACTTTTTAAGAAAATACGGGAAAATGCACAAGTTAATGACGTCACAATTAGCATTAAGGAGGTCATATGATTCAGAAAGAATGAATTTTGATTTCTTATATCCCTTTAATATTTTAGAAAAATGTCGGGCTTAATTTGTATTGAAACTGTACCTTCTTCTTTAGGCTTCCATTACCCTGTATTTATATAAAAGAGTATATTTTTTGGTTAAGACTCGTGTGGAAAGCGTATAGACAAACTCTGGAAGTTAAGGACCTCTGGAACCAGGTGGACTACCTGAGATCAGAGACGTGTGTCCCAGAACTAGAACAAAACTGGAAGAAGGAAGTTCACAAACAGGCCACAAGAAACGTCAGGTTTGTCCCGGGTAGCTTTGACTTTCGCACTGCATAAACAGAATAATAATGTTAAGTTTGGTCCCGTCATATTTGCAGAAAACTTAATTTTGTCTAAAACATAAATTCAGTTACTCAAAACATCAAAACAATGAAGTTTTAAAAACTAGCTTGATTAAGGTATATGTAAAAAGTTATTTATTTTATGTGTGTATATTGTTACATATTGGGCGAGGTCATTTTAAAATCTAAGTGCAGCGTACTATAATATGCATATATATTGAAACTCTTGCATTTGTGAGTGTTTCTAATTGTTACTTACCTAATTTTTCTATTCAGAATGCAACATAATAATTTTCCCCATCCTTATATCTACCAAAATCGTACTTTCATATCTGAGTCAACACCTCCTTTATCCAATCAAAAATCAGATATAGATGACGACGAAGAAGGCTCCGAGAATTTCCACCAAGCGCGACCAACTTTACTTAAAGTTGTGGCAAGAACCTACTGGAAACAGTGGCTACTTGCCTCCTTCTTTAAAATCGCACGTGACGTTTTGTCCATGATTCAACCGCTGCTACTTAAGTGAGTAGTTGAGTGTTCAATCATTATTGCTTTTAATATACCTTTGAGTTGCCTCTACATTCACTTCTTTTTCCAAAATAAAGAACAAGGTTCACCTTTGGCATATTTTGGCCCTGTGAATTTCTGTAAAATCAGACTGCTTGTTTTTAGTTGGAGATATGTTAGATTTCACTTGGACCCTTGGTGTCTTCATATCAATTAGATATGATGACTTTTTCTCTTGTCCATGTATTATGACGCCATGAACTGTGTAAATTTCCTCAAATCTTGAAAATTTTTTTAAAATGGCCAAATTTTAGGCCGTTTTTGAATTTTCTTCATAACCCCCAGCCTCTGATCTAAAATGTTTAACTATACACTGAAAGAATTGCTTCGGAAGATTTTACTCCCTGAAACAATTTTTGGATCGCGGGATAGGCTCATATTTCAATCAATAGTTTCACTCATTTCCTTCAAAATTCAAAAACATCGTAGTTTCACATAGCCTGAGTATCAAAACTCGGACTCTTATAAAAAAACTTTATAAGAAATGTAGGCACCAAGTCTCTACTTTATGTTGCTGTTCGAAATTAAACGTAAGGACTTGGTCAGTTTATTGGTATAATGACAGGGCCATTTTATGGAGTTAGTGAACCTACTTCTTTTTGTCAATTAAGATGTACATAAATTCAGCACACAGTTCGGGACGGATTTCCACAGTAATAGCTGTTAAACATTAAATTCGAAACAATTTTTCTATGTAAGAGTTAAAAGACCCACCTAAAATCAGCGTTCTTTTGCAGACTGATGATCGAATTCCTTGAGAACAAACACACAGAGGACAGGCCCCTGTGGAATGGCTGGGGACTAGCTATCTTGTTCTTTATCAGTGGGGTAGTGGAGTCGCTGTTCTTCACTCAGGGCGCATTCTGCATGATGACCCTGGGCTTGAAAGTGAAAGTAGCACTTGTAGGATTGATATATAAAAAGGTAAAAATCTAAATGAAGATAAAATATAATTGTTCCGTCGAATGTTGGAATTATGGTTCTGACAATGGAATACGAGATAATATATATTACAGGGATGGGGTAATTGATGAAAGTAATTGTAACTGAGTGTAATTAATTACATTTTTCAAAGTAATTGGAAGTAATTTGTAATTGAGCCTGTTTTCAATTACAAGTAATTGAATGTTTTTAAATACATTTTTACAAATAGCATGTATTTTAAATTACTTTTTAATAACATTTCAATTACCTTTTTCAAGTTAAAAGTTAGTAAGTTGTCTTTTTATGATACATAATTTGTATACATGTTTGAGCTACTCATGTTTGGAGTGAGCTTGTGTTTATACAGTAATTAAATGTCTCATAATGTTTAATTAGTTTGGATACCCATTTGTTTTTGCATGACATTCTGTCCAGGGCAATGGGTAAAGGACGAAAGTCTAAATTTGTTTAGGTGTGAACCATCTCTCTCATACCCAGGAAAAAAAACATTGCGAAAAGTTCACAAAAACCATCATGTTTAGAACCAAAAATGAATTCAGACCTGATAGATGTTGCTTGAGTGATACTGTGTTTGAAAAAGTAATGATGTCATTGATTAATATGAACTCAAAAATGTAGAAACACTAATTTCAGTACTTAATGCCTGTATATACTTGCATATGTTTTTTCAAGTTTTTTGAAATAAAACTGTAATTGAAATGTATTTAATTACATTTGAATAAATCAATCGAATTGTAATTGTAAGTAATTGACAAAATTATCAATGTATTTGAAAGCATTTAATTACATTTCAAAGTAATTAACCCCAGGCCTATTATATTTTGGATATATATTTACATTCAGTGTAATTTTTCTTATGAAATTCATTAGAAATCAACGGTCTTCAAATTTCTATAACACACACCAAAATGTAACATGTTTTACCTCAATTTAAGGAAAAATTTTAACCCAGAAAAATTAACGTAAAATTCAACGTAATGTGCGTTAAGAATTAATTTGTTTCCTCGTCATTTAACTTTGCAACATCATTTAACGTCATTTGACGTCACAAACGGCTCTTACATCTATTTACCACGACAGTTTGAAGGGCGCTAAATTCACATTTAAGATTAACGAAATAAGAAATTCTGAGGAAGAAAAATTAGGGAATGTAAATATAAGCTTTGAATTCATATTTTTGGATGTCTTCGGTCCTATAACACACCTGGCCGTGCCAACAAATTATCATTTTGAATGCGCTTTTAATATCTTTCAGTCATTGACAATGAATAACGCTGCTAAAAGTCACTACACGATTGGTGACATTGTCAGTTTGATGTCAGTGGACTGTCAGCGAATACAAGACGCCTTCATGTTTCAGTACGAAGTCCTCTCCTTTCTCTTCATGCTGGCCCTGGGTTTATACCTTATTTGGAATCAAATGGGCGTGGCAACTCTGGGAAGCGTTGCAGTGATCATTATCATATCGGCGCTTAACATAGTCTTTGGGAAACTTCAACAGAAGTACCAAGGAATCATTTTAGCGCTTAAGTCTAGTCGGATAAAACTGTTAAATGAGGTGTTAAGTGGTATAAAAGTACGTGTAATTTATTATGTGCTTTGAAGTTTTAATAGAATGGGTGAATTAGGTATTTTAAAATTGTCAAAAACATGTTTTACATTCTGAATAAATTAAGATAGGATTAAAAGAGATAAACATATTCATAAAGAGATAGGGAGAACACAGGTCTCTCTGTGTAGCTTTTAAAAGTGAGGTACAATTTTTTTTAATTTATAATTATGATCAGGTAAAGATGAAAAAAAAAACTTCTGTTGAGTTTTAAATTGCATATTTGTATCATCTTAGTAAAAGGAAAAATTAACCCGATATTGTTATTTTTTAATTTGATGGCACCATTCTTCTTTAAAGAAATGTTGACTTAAATTTTGAATTAATGAAGTGAAACTTTTATGTAGGTTTTAAAGATGTATACGTAAAAAAAGCCACCTTTCACCAAGAAACTATTGAATATTCGTTACAAAATAAGGAACAATATACCTAATTGTGAATTTAAATAAAAAACCAATATTTATTTGTAAAAAAAATATTTGTTTTAACGTTTTTCGATGTTTTTTTACATTTAGATTTTAAAAAGCAAAACAAATAATTTTCTGTCAAAAAAGTGTGTGTTGTCATTTTTTAAACATAAATGATATATATTTTTTCTTGATGCACAGTCCATTTATGGTATAATTAAACATAAAAAAAAATAATTTTGAGGTACACACTTTAAGCATTATGATAGTTACAGGTAAATTGGAAACTACAATAAAGAAGAGATTATATTCGAAAGACGTGTTACAAAAACATAAAAATTTTGGACTCTTTGCATTAGCCTATTTCTAAGCACTGCAAATTACGCAAATATATTTTTCTTAAATGAAACTTTAGAAAAGGCTCTCAAATAGCAACTTTAATGACATAAATGGCATTTAAAGTATGATAATTGGAATACGAACATTTTGTTTTTGTTTTCAAAGTTTAAATATTTATACCTTAGTCCTGGCCTTAAAGTATCGTTATGTAGTCAATCCTTTTTCAATTTAACGATTATATTTCTTAATGATTTAGAGAAAAAAGTTTATATAGATGAAAACGTTTTTAAATATGATTTTTACGTTTTATAAGCATGGGTATGCGTTATGCCAATACTTGTAAATGTTATAATTTTCAGATGAGCTATTTTGTGTTGCTGATTTTTACCTTGATGACGTCAGGAAATTACCTGAATGCCAGTAAAGTGTTTGTTTCCCTCACCATTATCAACACTCTTCGCTTCTCTATAACAATTGTTCCATTTGTCATCACAGGAATCATACAGGTACTGTGTAAACAGTATGATTAATTGTTGAGCAATAAGTTTACAATTGTGGTACTCCCATTTGTTTAAATATTTGATTAAAACTGTTTAAACAATGTTTCATCATTCGCAGAACTGTATGATTTAATGGAATTCAGTATTAATCAGGATTTTCCTTTTTGAAATACGGATTACAAATTGGTCTTACAATATGTAAGAACTAACCTTCAGTAAAATGCTCCGACTTTTATTTTTTTTTTCCAGCAATGATAGTAGTGATGCAATGACACTTATTTAAGATACTAGACGTTTCATGTTAATTGTTATCCTGTTATTTACACACTGAATTGTTGATAGATTTTTTTCCGTTCTTTCCCGTTCGTCACATGAGTACACAGTGGATTTGACCGGTCGGCAGGGGATGCTCACTCCTCCATGGCACCAGATCCCACCTCTTATGTTTTGGTGGTCATTGTTTTCTCTGCTCCTATTTTTGCATCGTTTTAATGGACTTTTGAACACTCACACATTTCTTTGTCTTTATATATTTTACATCATTTCTATTGCAATTTATGCACGATACTTGCTGTCAAAAAATAACATTGAAACAGAAAATTTCGTTTTTTCTCTGTGCACAGTGTATTATATTAGGTAAACATAAAAAAAATAATTAATTTTACTTTAAGCATTATGAAGTTACATGTATTATGGAAACGAGTTAGCATAGATTATATTTAGTGCGTGTTCCATAGGCCTCTTTGCATTAGCCTATTTCTACAAACTGCAAATTAAGAAATATATGTAATATCTTAAATGAAACTTCAAAAGGCTCTCTAATAGCAACTTTGAAAGAAATCTTTCAATATTTGGTTTAAAGTGTAACCGGTTCTATTTTGATAAAACAACAAGATTTCTCTGCACATCAATTTATTTTGGTATAGGTTCATATCAGATGCGCGAATCACGTGATACAATAACAGTAACATGTAAGCACATACACACACAAAGCAATACAAAGACAATACATACAGATAATCACAACTTTAACTTTAAAGTATGATACATGCATATGGCAAGTATATTTTTTTGCACATTTGAAATTATCTTTCTGTCCTTATAACTTTTATTTGAAAAACAAATTTGTAAAATATTTTTAGAAAGACGTTATGCAGTTCAATTTGAAATATTAACAATTGTATTTCTTCATGACCTAGATAAAAAGATTTTATAATGTTTACTTTAATAAGCATTATGCGTATACCAATACTTGTAAGGTTGTAACCATTATAATTTTCAGATGAGCTATTTTGTGTTGCTGATTTTTACCTTAACATCAGGAAATTACGTGGATGCCAGTAAGGTGTTTGTTTCCCTCACCATCATCAACACTCTTCGCTTCTCTATAACAATTGTTCCATTCGTCATCACAGGAATCATACAGGTACTGTGTAAACAGTATAACTAATTGTTGAGCATTAAGTTTACAAATGGGTCCCATTTGTTTAAATATTTGATTAAAACTGTTTAAACTTTTTATATGATTTAATGGAATTCAGTATTTTAGGATTTTCGAAAGAAAACGGATTACAAATTGGTCTTACAATATGTAAGAATAACCTTCAGTAAAATGCTCCGACTTTTTTTTATTTTCCAGCAGTAGTGATGCAATGACACTTATTTAAGATACTAGACGTTTCATAGCAAATTGTTATCCAGTTATTTACACACTGAATTTAAAATTTTTTTTCGTTCTTTCTTCGTCATGAAACAGTTGACCGGTCGGCAGGGGATTCACTCCTCCATGGCACCAGATCCCATCTTATGTTTTGGTGGTCATTGTTTTCTCTGCTCCTTCACGTTTTAATGGACGATTATTTCTTTGTCTTTATATATACATCATTTTATTGAATTTATGCAGGAACGGATTCAAAAAATAACATTGAAACAGAAAATTTCGTTTTACAAATGTATTATATTTGGCGTGTACGATGTTTGGCGGAAATTGATTTTTGAAGATAGCATACAATAAATTTAGTGCAGTCAATGTTTTATTTATGTATATACTAGGGGTGATCAAAAACGCAAGACTAAATGAATAACTTCCATACAAGAAACAATATTTGGACCTATTATATTTTAAAGTGATCCTCTATGATTTTAATCACATCAACCATCGTGCGTCACAATCAGATATTGGCAGAGTGAACCTCCGTGTTATGTTGAAAGGAGATACTTTTATATTTCTTTCCTTGTGAGTTAATTTTTATGACAAAAACAGTTCATTTGTGTGCCATGTCGGCAACAGAATGGATGGATAATAAATCCTTTCCAAATATAAGCATGTTAAAACACAAATCTTTTTGAGAGACCATTCCCCTGGATATGTGGGTGATCCTTTTTGTATGCTAATATGTTTAAAACTAAAGAAAACGATATTAGATATTTAGAACTTATATATCAAATATTCCGATTTTTCAAGTGCCAATTGGAGGTCTTTGATAGCAAATCGCTAATTAAAAGTACATATCGACAATTTGCTTTCACTGCGCAAATGACAATACATTTTTAACCATCAGCCTTCCTTCACTAAAACGATTAATCCAATCATAATTGAATTTATAGAACTGTTAATAAGCTGTGTACAAATTATTCTAATATACAACTAAGATATTACAATAAATTGTACTAGTCGTTTGTTGAGACGAGTTCGGACTGAGAAATCATTAAAATTATACCTGAACTAAATAGTGACGTCATGATGTGAAAAACAGGGAGAGAATATGCTATTATTAGACCTTGTGTATAGCTATGTGTGTACCGAAGTTATTGTGAACTTTTTGAGCGTATGTGCAAGAATTTAATTAGAAGTTCATTTCCGCCAAAAGCGCTAGAAAGAATACACAGTCAAATGTAATACGTTTACAGCATTTTATGTTAATAAGAAAAAATATACAACTTATTGCCAATAAAAGATTACGGGAGAGAATGGAGAGAAATCATTAAAATTAACCTAAAGTATGATGTGAAAAAATAAGCTAATAAAGAAGCATTTATTAGCTCTTATTAACAAATTAATTCCATTCAAGAAAATAAATAAAGTAATCCTAGCCACTCATACAAAAATCTAATGCTCCTAAAAAAAAAACTTTAATTGTGCAAAGCTTTCTATGAAGCCAATTAAAACTCTGTCTTTACACAGGCATTTTAGTATTTCTCCTATCAAAGTATTTATAAATCATTGTATACAATTATTACCGAGACCGAAGTCCAAGGTCAACCAATACTTGTCTAGGCGCGTATAGTCAAGTGAAAACCAAATTCAAATGCCAATAACCGTTTTATTAAAAAATCAGGAAATTTACAACATTTTTGACACTTTAGTTCTTGTAAATATCAAATATAAACACTCACAATATAATGCGTAGTGTAAGCACAGATAATGATTATTTTTAACAGTTTAAAAAATGATACTAGTAGTTAAAAACAATATTATTTAACAAGAATACTTAACTTTTTTACTTGAGAAAGTAGTGTAGTCTATTTGGAACTGGCGTCTGCCATGTTAACATTCACAACGACACAGGCTTTAAGACGACCAATTTGATTGGTCGAAGAAAATATAAGCAAACTGATGGTAAGTCAAGAGGAAAACCTAAGAACACAACTTCCCAGAATGTCATATGAAGTGAACTCACTCTGAGGTACATCACACAAAACGACGTCATGACCAATCAGAGAGCATCAAAATTCCTGATCATTTAATAATAATCATAATATTATATCCAATGCCAATGTAATATTTTTAAGGCCGTGTAATTTTTTTAAATGCTGCATATACTATACAGATGCTGGTATCTCTAAAAAGAATAGAAAAATTCCTTTGTAAGGAGGACCTCAATCAAAAGAACGTGTCGACCTCCTTAACCACAGGTATTATTAAAATTCGTAGCTAGAAGGGTAAAATTGGTGAAAAGACCACGAAACATAAAGATTTAAAGAAATGTTTTATTATTCCTCGGTATCTTTCTGTATATCGATTACATTTTATGAAAGCAGAAGTGAAGTTCTGAGCTTTTTAATACTGATTTTGAGTAGTACAGTAAAACTCAGTTAGTACGAACACGGATATAACGAATTCACGGTTATAGCGAAGTTATTTTGGATCCCCAGTTTTATAAATTTAACAGATTTCTTATACGGATATAACGAATTACGGATATAGCGAAGTAATTTCACAGGTCCCAGTGACTTCGTTATAACCGAGTTTTACTGTAAATGGTTGACATAAAATTTATAATAGAATTATGTCTATTGCAGGGTATGCAATTTCTATAGATAACGGATATTTTACCTGGGACCGAAGAAATCGGAAACCTACCTTAAACAGGTACAGTCTGTAAGATGCATATTATTTGAGATATGTATCCTTCAATGTAGTTAATGTATAATGATCCACAGAATGAAGAATGATTTTAAAAAGAAGGAGAGGTGAAGAATTATTTATATGCTTATACATAATTCTATTGTTAAAACAGAATTAACCTTAAGGTCGGAGAGGGTAAACTTGTGGCCGTGGTAGGGCAGGTGGGGGCGGGGAAATCGTCACTTATAGCCGCCATGTTGGGAGAGATGGAGAATGTCAAAGGTCACGTTAATGTTCAGGTTTGTCTTAATTTTATAAATTATGATAAAAAGGGGGAAATATACATGTGTATGTAAAAAAAAATCGAATTATATTTTTAAAATCTATTGCAAGGTCAAGGGTCACGTCAATGTACAGGTTTGTATTAATTATGTTCCCCAAACGAAGTTGGGGAACATATTGCTTTTACTCTGTTTCTTCTTCTTCTTCTTCTTCTTCTTCTTCTTCTTATTATTATTATTAAGGTCTTCCGTCTTCAGCGGAAGACCCTTCTATTATTCTTCGGTTTCTTTTTTACCTTTATTAGGGTCTTTCGTCTTCAGCGGAAGACCCTTCTATATTCTTATGTTTCTTTTCAATTTTCTTATTATTATTATTAGGGTCTTCCGTCTTCAGCGGAAGACCCTTCTATTATTCTTCGGTTTCTTTTTTACCTTTATTATTATTATTATTATTTTTATTCTTTTTTCTTCTTACAAAATTTGTGCAGAAGATTTCTCGGAGATGGCTCGTTCGATTTGCTTGAAATTTTCACGGTAGATGCGTTAGCATCTGAAGTTAATTCCGGCAAATTATTTTTTGGAAATTCACTTCCGGTCGGGAGTTATCGCCCTTTGATCAAAATTTGGAGGACCTCCTTGTCTGTGATGG